ATCAAGATAAAGTCCGTTTTATTATGAACTGTCGGGCTTGAAACGGATTTAGCATAATCCGTAACTATTTCCTGGAAATTTTAAAAGAAACCACAAACATCGGCCGTCGCTCTTGTCCTTTATTTCTTCCGCCTTTACGGAACAGCCCCCTTCAACGGATAAATTCTAGCATATGACAAAATTCAGCCCGTTAGGCGATAGGCAACTGAAAAGAGAAAGAATCAGAAAACTTAAGTTTCAGGACAGAAACCTGACCCAGTACCAATTTGTCCACTATGAATGACACGCAAATTAGCCCAGAATTATACAAAGGTCCTCGCTGTGAGAAACTGGCGTCAAACTGAACGAGTGAAAGCCAGAAGAACGAATTCGGTACATTTTGCTTGGACTGTACTGGGGCATAGTTATGGGTGTGAATCATATATAACAGGAATGATTGTACGAGTAACATGCAAGGAAGTAACAAGAAATACTGGGGCTTTCTAAACAGAAGCTCTGGCTTTAATTACACTAACTCGCTACTTAATAAAAACGTCTGCATGAATATGAAAGGCGTGGGAAGAAACTGGGAGACATGTGTAGACTGGAGGATAATATTAAATTGAACATTTGAAAAAAAATACTTCATATTGTGTTCTTATGAGTGCGAGACGCTGTGTATTATTTTGCTGGTCATTTTACGACTCTGAAATAGGCAGATTATACAGTGTCGAATTATTAAGGAGACTGATGAATGATTAACTGGAAAGGATTTGGAAGAAAACTGCCGTGGCCTAATTGAGACACTATCCTGGGATTTCGCTGGAGGGATTGAGGAAAACCACGAAAACACTTAAACAGTATAGCCGGTGTCCCTTCCGGGATTCGATACGAGCACCTTCTTCCATCTATGGCGTCCAAAATAGAGCACAATCTAAACTCTCAGCGCGTTGAAAGTCTCAAAACTGTATAAAATAAGTTGCGAAGGCCTGGATTTGATGCAGCTAGCTCAAGACAGATCGAATAGCGGTTTATTTTTAGAATGACGATAAATCTGCTAGTTCTGCAACAAGGTGGAATTTCTTAACCGCTTCGGCAACTAAGGTCCAGCGTCTCTGGGAAGCTCGAGTAACGGGGAGTCACCTAAGCCTATCAGTGCCACTCATTCGCGAAGAAGTGAGGCAATTATTGCTATAGACTTTAATAGAACCCCTGGGTTCACAGCAAGGAGACACACAAAGGAAATAATTTTTCTTATTTTCGTGCAATTTCCCAGCGAGATTCCTAATTTCCTCTGCAGAAAAACATCTTATTTACAGCGCACATAACTGATTACAAGGGAGAGATTTTGAATTCAAAGAAAATGTTGTCATGAGGGTTGTAATTTCCTGGTCACGATTCATAAAATGAAAAGGGATCTTGACTACACAAAATTATCACTGGAACACGAGAAAGGTTGAAGCAAGAAAACAAACTTGAATACCTACAGGTCCCTAGTCATTTCGCAATTAGACATCAGGTTGGAGACTTTATGTCTGTAGCAGACTGACCTATAACAGATCTCTTGAATCAAGAATAATGAACTCACAAACATGTTTAGAAGTCAGAACTTGTGGAGATAATTAATTTCTGCGTTTCATATCCCCATTTTCATTTTTTTTTTGCGTTCTGATCTTATTTTTATGTTACCATCAATAATAAACATGACTTCGTAATATCTGAGGTTCTCACACCGTCGAATATCAAGATGTGACGCCGTGTAGTTGGGCAGGCGTCTCCATCTTAATGGTACGGTACAAGAAGATGTTCAGAAAAGCTGGAATTCAACAACCACATCATACAGCGCCACGTTCTAAAAGAACGTAACTTTGAGACCACTTTTACGGCGTTCAAGTCAGCCCGCCATTTTGCAAGAATGATACGGGACTTAGCCGTACAGATGCAATTCCGAGGTAAAGCGCGGCCGACGCGTAAGGTTGATAACCTTACCGCCATCTTTGAGCCGATTGTCTAGATAATGTGGTGCCCTCAACGTCTCAAGGCTCTGTGGGCCCTCACGGCCTGTTACCGGAATAGCTTTACTTTTTTTACATACATTTGGTTAATACCCTATAAGGACGTAATAGTGACTGCCTCTGTGATCTAGTGGTCAGAGTTCCTGTCTACAGATCCAGAGGTCCCGGGTTCGTTTCCCGGCGCTATAAGATTTTCTGAGAAGTACTGGTTCCGGAACGGGGTCCACTCAGCCTCGTGAGGATAATTGAGGAGCTATTTCAAGGAAATAGCGCCTCCGGTCTAGAAAACCGAGATTAACGGCTGTAGGGATCCGTTGCGCTGACCACGTGACATCCTCTATCCGCAAAAGTTGGTACTAACTTCGCCGACAAGCGGCGGTCGCTCGGTCGGTATAGTTCGCTTGCGGACTACAGTCCATGGAGTTTGTTTTTGTCGTTGAATGTAACAGTTGTTTATTCTGATGATCATAAGAAACACGTAATTGTATTTTATTGGTAGAGAACGGAGAGTTTCTGAACGCCAGAGCAGGTGATGAATACAGTTACATGGTCAGTGCGCTTGTACTGGACGACCAGAGCACTGCATACATACTTTTGTTCCTGTTATTATGTCCTACACAAGGGAACGTTTGATACACCGGATTTCCAACAAATCCTTTACAATTTTAATTACCATTCAGTGATATCTGTTACACTGGGTGCTCAGTAATGGCACCGGTTGTCTCCCTCCGTTAAATCTGTTGCCGTTTAATACACTTCCGTAACACGTGTCATATCGGACAGTCTGTAACCCAACCTGTCGTTTAATATTTCGTGTCACGCCATAGGGCTATACCGGCTATTCAAGAAATCGCTTCGCAGTAACAAGTTGCAAGTCCAGATCGCGAACTACAGACTCAATATACACGTACGTGAAGTTGCCCGCACCGTAATGGAGTCTACACAGTTCACCTACGATCACGCCAGGTCACACATCCGCAGGAAACATCTGATAGGTCACCTCTCCCAATGAAATACTCATAAAAAGGGTAAAGCTATCCCTGTAACAGGCCGTGGAGGCTCATAGGGCTGTGAGACGTCGAAGCTCGCACATTTTCTAGGCAATCGGCTCACAGATGGCGGTGAGGTTGTCAGCCTTATGTGCTTACGGCCTTTTACACCCAGGAAGATTCCTGATACTCATTTCTGTTAGAGGCTTAGTCGAACCCAGGGCCATAGTGCGGCTGGAAGGATTAGATCAAATGAAAAATCCAATAACCTCACGGGAAACGAACTGGCGACCTTTCGGCTTGTTGCATAGTGCCTCAGCCAACTACGTCACCGCGTAGGCACACACTACAATTAAATAATATCAGTTGGTAGAATCTTGGTGTTTGTTGCTGTTTTGTTTTTTGTACAAGTTCTAGAAATGATATGGGAAGTCTATTTTTGATAACGGTTTGGTGTTGCAGAATAATGTGAATACGCAGAAATTTCACCAGTGGTGCATTACAGTCTGCAATATTAGTTTTCTGTGCTTTGTTATCAACCGACATTCGAAACCATAGCGTAATGTTTCGGTAGTTGGATCTCCTCCCAACTTCAGGCGTAGGTATCTATTCATTTGGGTCCGTCAGAATCTAGCGACTGGACGTAATTGTTCCTAACAGGTCCACCTGAACAGGTACCCCCACCCGAGGGAAGGAGCAGATATGCTTACCGAAACCTGGTGTTGTTTCATAATCGCGCCCGCTGGATGAAGTCCATAACGCTAGTAATAACGGGGAACAAGTGTATTTGAGACTACACACGAAAGTTGCAGCTTATCAACGACGAATATTTGTGAGAGCAAAGTTTTCAATATGAACAGTTGAAGTACGGATATTTGGAGCGAAAAATAAAACATATCTACGTGCTGGAATAAGTATTCAACGCATTTAAACTACCTTTGGATCCCCCAAAATAATTTCAGTACTGAAATAAACAGTGCCGTTTATCGTATTCAGTTATTCAGTATAGAGGGGGTTGGTTTCCCCATGCACCGCGACTAATAGTCTATTGTACGTCCCCCTTTAATTTCTACTGTCGCCATACCCTACCGATACTGGTGCCCGCTATCTCCCCTTTCTGCCAGCGAGGTCGGCCCTCTACTGGCAGTGGTACCCGATGCTTTCCCCATCTACCGGAGGCATTGGAAACTACTTGGGCGGGAAACTTGCCTAATTTTGCTCAGAGGTCTCCTAGAGACATGAGGATCTTTTACGTGCCGTAAATCTACGATACGGGACCCACGGCTTAAAGTCCTTCCCGGAGGACTTGTTCCCTGAATTTTTCCGCCCTTAAAAATTCCACGACCTCCGCCTTGAGTCATGAGGTGGGAACGTTACCCCTAGACTACGGAGGCCGTTTCCGTTTATCGTAAATAAAATGCCAACAAAAAAAAAAAGCTGAAGCATATTTTCTGTATCCAAGCATTAAAATTTCTGATATCACATCCAGATTTTTACGTCGCATGTTTGAACCGTATGTATTTCAGATCATTTGGTAATTTATATACACGCCGTACATAATATATAGGCACCTGAAACGATCTTCTTCACTGACCTAACAATAAACATATCTTTATACAGATGAATTCAAACACATAATATTAGGATTCATATGCATTCTACTTCGATGGACCAAAGTAGCTACAAAAACAGATGTTTAAACTAAATTCTTAAACAGTAAATTCAACATTCATTTAAATCATAATTAAACTGATGGCACGAGGGATTGAATTTCTCTCCCTAATTTCAATCATATATTTCGAGCGGAGGAAAACATGTCTGTCCCATATGACTGCATGTGAATGTGACTAAACGTTACAGGAAAATGTGAACATTCATGGCACCGCAGGAACTTACCAACGCCTTTGTTCTGCAGCATTTCCAGAAGTTTCTTTATGCTTTCATCCCGGGCTTGCAGCGTTTGCTTCTGAGTCTCTATCCTTAGTTCGAGCTCCTGAAAACAACCAAGAAATGCACACATCATTATTCTGAAAGATACTTTCACATGTCCTGGGTTCCGTGACAAATAATTGCGGATTCTAGATCTGGTGCTTTTATTTATTTGATGTCACTCTCACAATTACACTCGGTTATAACAACTCAACTCCTTCTGGATACCGAATCCCTCGCTGTTGTCTGCATCTTGCATCTCTGGTCTTCTGGACTCTCCCCGCACTTCTTGCGTTGCTCTGCTAGTTTCTTCCGTCCGCTCGGTCTGTTACATTCGACAGTCGGACGCTCTAGAAAACACCTTGTTCAAGGGCTCTGCTTCGCGTATTCAATGCAACGGTAGTTACAGTATTGGTTACCGCGGGAACTGAACTAGTTCTGGGTTTCACTTCCGTGGTAACGGTCTGCCTATGCGCGCGTTGTCGCGTGAACGTGTTTAACTGTCACCCAAACAATTATATATTTACTGCTCTTATTGTAGCAGGAACGTGACCACCGAGCCGTTGCCTAGCAATGAAATCCCGCTCTGACTCCGATATTCCGACGTTTAGGTGGCACGTCAAAATACAGTAAATCATTATGAACTGCAGGATTGTGGTCTCCTGCGATACCGTGTAATTTGTTACGTCGTTGCTGACGTTTCAGAAGAACATGTTGCTGTTCCCTTCACATACATGACACAACTGACGGTGTTGGAACCAATAAGACCACAATCTAAATCCTCAAACCTGAGAATAAATCTGATCCCATATGTAACAAGGGGGTGTCGTCACCAGTCAGTGAAGTAGGCCGTTACTTTATCATCACAAAGTCACTAGATTCGATTTTCAAAATGTTTCTGGTCTTCATACCCTAGTGGAAAGCTTAATCAAATTACATAGGATTTTTCTTCCATAAGGTTGCCTACGAAGGATAACGTGCACTGGTTCGTAGGATAGATGGACTTTCTGTTTTATATATTCTTAATATATTATGCAGACAAATTCGTAACATTCTCAAGACAGATAAGTCGGCCGGTTAGATTGCTGCTGGCCTTCGCAAGTACAATTATTCCTGCCTTCAATGTCCTCGTGATTCATGACTAAGATTTACATAGATTCAGTTCCTACCTCACCTCCTGTACAACTAGCACTTCCTGTACGATAAGTCCTTGTATGATCAGCACTACTTGCACGACCATACCTCGAAAGATCGTCCCTTTCTATATGAAAGGCGTTTCTTGTAAAATTAACCATTCTTGATATAATTTAATCTGATCAATTTCAACAGTGCGTTTTCTTTTCCTCAAAATTTACTGGACAAATTTGGCGTCCATTTATAATACCAAATTTCATCCTAATACGTTCAGCAGTTTTACAGCTGAGAAAGAATGGATGGAGCAGAGAGCCATGCCATCAACATAATGCGTTAATTTCTTCATTTGTCCAAGGAACACATACAAAAAATATAGCACATTGAGAGAAAGATTCGAGGATCTCAAGGGAGGGGGGACTATGATAATCAGTGTATTCGGAGAGGTTTTCCTCTATAGTCAGAGGCTAACGTTTCGGAGGAACCTGCTGTCCCCATCTTCAGCATCACACTCGTATCAAGACGAAGGCAGCAGGTTCCTAGGAAACGTTGATGTTATCTATCAAAATTTTTGGCATTATAGCACTCAACCCTGAAGATGGAGGTAGAGGGTTTCTCCGAAGCGTTGGTATCTACCCACCAAACTACACAGCGTTACATCTCAGATAACCATTATTTTATAAACTCAAGCAGTATCATAAATTAGATTATTCTTAAAGAAGGCTTCGTATGCGGTAATACCTTAATTCTACCGTGGGATGAAACCTGACCCATGGGTGAGCCTATATGAGTACATTGCACGCGCTCTCTGGGAGCCAATATAAGGAAATCTCTTGGGAGTTTACTGTGAAGTCAGGCAATGGGAACGTATCGGCCTCTCCTGTGTTGCCGAGGCATGCCACTTTGTGTTCCTATGGATTAGCTCCAACTTTGCGTGTTTATTTTCGTAACAAAACACGGCGAGGCACTGCAAGGGCAAGGGCGCAAAATTAGAAGCAGCCCGCGTGTCCGCGGAGGGCGGGGAAAGGGGGTGCTCCAGCCCTCCTGTCAATGGCTATTTTCGACACTTCCCTTCTCGGCTCCTGCAAAAGACAGTTAATAGAACTTTGTGGTTCCCACACAGGCGAATAACAAGATTGATGCCGTGTAGTCTGGTAGATATTTACTGCTGTTTCGGGAGAACATGCCGCTTCCATCTTCTACACTGACGATGGAAGTAGTAGTTTCTCGTGGTGTTCCACTGTACCCAGAGGAAAATGCCGAAACAATACCTCAAATGTGATCACAGCTGCGTCCCATTCACTTTTCACTTATCCCGCTACCAGAGCCATTAAATAAGCCGTAACTACAAAAGGAGAACTTATAAGTGGGTTATGCAGTGAAGCTCTAAATTACAGAGTTGTATTTAATTACAGTACAGTATGTTGAGAGCCATACTTTCTGGTGACATTTCGGTAATGTATTGACACCAAGAGGAAGAAGAGCAGCGATATCTCGGAAGGACTCCAAAGATATGTCGGAAGAAGAGTTGCGATATCGCATAAGAGCAGTAGTGATATCAACGGAGAATTTCTAAGTGTAGCTGAGCTCTACACGGGCGGCTGTAACAAGAGGACCTAGGCGAGGGAAGCCGAAGAAAATCCAATGTTAGAAGCCGCTGCCAAGGAACGGCTGGTTAAGACACAGCAGGTTGGAAGGGGCTTAGCGGATTCTGTGGCGACTTGCAAAGTGTGGAGATTAGCGGCGGCTAATCCAATATCTAATCCCTGCCCCGTCTATAGTAACACGCCCCCAAATACGTGACAATATTATTGCAACAGTTCTGTCTGAATATACAACCTCGATCGATATCAGTTTTGCAATTTCGCACGCAGAAGATGCGAATGGAAGGAAAGAAAAATACGGACAGAGGCTCAATTATGCTTCGCTTTCATCCGTCTATGGAAATCATGCACAGCAAAAAAAGAAGGGAAAGTTCGAACAATTCGCACAAAACGAGAACCTCAGCACAGTGACTCTATTGTTCCCGGCACGTTTCTTTTCAACTTGGCAACGTCTCTGCAAAGTGAAATGGTGAAAGGAACCACAAAACGGGAGGCCAAGCAGCCCAGAACTAATCCTATATAATATTTCCAATTGGGGCTCGGCCAAAATAGAGCCGACATACCAAAAGCAAGAAATTTTGTAAAACTAGATTCAGATTGGATTTTAAGTTCTCACAGCGGTGGCTATGACTGCGGTCCTCTGGGCTGAAACGCCGTGAAGTTAGACGTTTCGGAGAAGCATGTCGACTCCATCCATTATTGAAGATGGAGGCGATCTTTTGTAACGAAATGTATTTCGGAGAAAGCCTGGCTCTTCGGAGGAACACATGGTTTCCATTCTACCATGAAGATTGAGGCGGTATGTTCCCCCGAAACGTCGGATTTTCTCCGAACTAAACACCGTCATGAACCAGAAGCTCAGATTACTCGTCAAATATCTCCACGATCCACATTTAAGTTGGTGAGACGTCTTAAGGGTACGAATGTTTAATAGGGGAGGGGGTGGAGCCGGGATAGCGAATTCGGTAGAGCGGCTAGCTACGGGCTGGACGACAAGAGGAGTTGGAGTTCCAGTCCCGGTACAACAAAGACTGTTCTTTTTTGACCAGCGTCCAGACCGGTTCTGGGGCCCACCCGGCCTCCTATACAATGGGTACCGGAAGGGTTGGATATTTCCAGGGGGGGTAAAGCGGCTGAAGCGTGAAGCTGATCACTCACCTCAGACTACTGCCGAGATCAATAAATTGTGGATCTATATAACCACTCCCCCATACGCCTTCATGGCGTAGTGTTTATATTTAATTAAGCACAGGGACAACTTTACCTTCTATTTTTATATGGGGTGTATTTTACGTCACTCCTGGTACCTCGACCATGCCTTAAACAGCAGCATAAATGGCGAAGTGACCAGGATACTGAAGGAAACGGCTGTGGCCTAAAATAAGACTTATTCTGAGATTTACTTGGAAAGACCGAGGAAAACTAACTAAAATCGAAACATAGTATTAAAGTTTTATCAAAATATGATCAAGTGCACTCGGATATGAGATAGGAAAGACGTCTTGTAGGACCTACATTTGTTCCTGTACAATGAGAAAGAGGGGCAGACGGTAGCGTAGTTGGTTGAGGCACTATACTACAAGTCGGAAGGTCGTAGATTCCATTCCCGATGAGGTCATTAGATTTTTCAATTGACCTAATCATTCCAGCCGCACAATGGCCCTGGGGTCGACAAAGCCTCTAACAAAAATGAGTACCCAGAATCTTCCCGGGGGTAAAGGGTGGCCGGCTGACAATCTCAGCGTCATTATCTCAGTCGATTGTGTACAAAATGTGGGAACCTCGACGTCTCACAACACTATGTGGTTCCACGGCCTGTTACAGGGATAGCTGTACCTTTTTTACTACGAGCAAAGAACACAGAAATAAGACAAGAGATACGTCGTTTCGCTTAACAACCTGTCATTCTGTTCTTCTCTAACATGTCGACATTGGCGGAAGTGCATCGATTGGTCTGCATTCCTTTGTGATATGCAAGAACACAGCGATCTCCGGCCGGTTACGTGACATCCAACTGTTTAATTACTATGGAAACAGGATGCCACACAACGCAAACTTTATTTCATTCCGACATGTTCTGAACTTGAAACAATCAATATCGCCCGAAGATGCTGGGTATCGAACTAGTTCCTTCTAGAGATGCTACCAGACGCTCAGCTACCTTAAGGAATTCCAAGGGGTTTATGGAGCTCAATAGTTTCTTTACCTGTTCATAAAAGCAACCGCTTCTCCTTATCCACATAAATCCAGTTCTTATTTTCCCATTATAATTCTTTACGATGCATTTTAATATTATCCTCACGTGCAAACCTAGGTCTGCCGAGTGATCTCTTTCTTAAAGGGTTTCCTACCAAAACTCTGAAATTTCAGGAACGGTAGCTTTTTTAGTAGGAATATGCATGGCGAACATCTGACCCAACAGGTTAGTGTAGCGTTAAGGCTTCTCATTCATTCGGGAGGGGCTTGGTTCAAATCTCGGTCGGCACTCCGTCAATTCTGAGATTTCTTGTGGTTTTCCTCAGTTCCTCCAAGAAAATGCTGGGATATCACTTTGATTAGGCCACAACCACTTCCTTCTAAGTATTTTCCAGCTCATCTGTCATCCTACCATTCGACACTATATAGTGTAGCTACTGGCTGCTGTTACTACTACTACTACTACTACTACACACAGTACGCATATGGTCGCATCCAGGAAAACAGCAGCACAGCGTTCAAGGGAACTACCATCTCCAACACCAACACTTCGATAAAATAACACAGTATAAATGCACAGATACATCTGAAGATGGAAGCGACGTTGCCCTCGAAATGTCGGGCTCTGTCCGAACTGTACAGTGCTGCAAACTACAATTACTAGAAAGTTACAATTATGAATATAGGACAGAAACCAACATGTCCCTACTTCAGGCCTCGTTTGAAATACCAGACTTTTCAACCGTAAAGTTGCCTCAAGGATGTTTCTGACAGATTTACTCTACTGACCGCAAGTTACGGAGCAGCGTGCATCTAGAGAAACGTGTGCGCTCACCTTGATAGTTTCTCTCAAGATGGCGATCTCCCTCGTCAGATGCTCGTTCTCTGTAAACAGCATTTCCATCTGCTGCTGCAACTCCACGCTCGGGTTTCGCATCCTCATCCGTAGTTCTTCCTCCAGTTGTCGCACCAGCATCGCTTGTTTCTGCAAATACAAGAAAGTCACAGTTCAGCAGTGACTGTTCCCAGTTAACCCACTAAATGCCGAGTTTTGGGCAAAATAACAAAACTATCACAAACACTTTGGATTGTCATAGCACGGGCTATGGCACCTTGGTGCTTACTTATAGTGTTTGCTCTTCGACCCTGAAGATGGAGGCAATGTTTTCGTCTCATATATTTTCCCACTGACAACGGCGGACCAGAAATACCTACATTACATAAAATTCCTACATATTGTAACATAACTCCATAGTCCTGAGCCCTTCTAGAGAAGCCGCCTAAAAGCGTGAGTAGTGGAGCCAGACATTGAATTGCCCATTTTGCTAGGCAACGGTTCATGTACGTTTCCGAGACAACGCATTCATAAAAAGCAATAATGGAGCAACTGGAGGCGGTGATCTCTACTGGGTTCTCCTGCAGTCATAAAATGGAGTTTGATTAAACTGGATGAGTGGTTTAGTTATGAGGGCCGAAAAAAAGTAAAATTATACCATTAAGAAACGATACATTCAAAATGTAATATCTTAAATATAACTCCAGGTATCTCCACAAATATCATCACAATTATCAATTAGAATCCATCATAATCATCTTCCTTGTGATTATTATTTAGGACCATAAAATAAAACGACCCCTCATTTTCAAGGAGTATAAAAAAAACTCTGCGGGGTCATGCGATAATTTCTAACTGAATTTGTTTTGCGAACTGCGCAGTATCAACGTCTCCTATTGTTATTTTTCTGATGCGCCGTCTTCTGAATGCCTTGAATTGTCCGCGACTTGTAATGAGGCATGAAAATTACAGTTTGCATCTCGTAAATGTACGTATCTGCAGACTGCGGTCTCTGGGAGCATTACAACCGCTGTGTAGAAGCACACTCTGGCAACTACATTTCCCCTGTGCCTTTTATGGATTAAACCAGCCGTTAGGGGGATGTTGTAACCTGTATCTTTGCAATATTAATTTCATGAAACGTGTACGCAAATTTCCAAGCAACCACAAGGCCTATAACTATGAAGTTTGACACACATACAAAGGAGATTTCTCTGCAAACTTTCCTTTAAAAAATAGAATTAGGCTTATGCGGTCACCATACCGTCTGTGTATCCCCCCCCCATTAACTTAGGAATGCCTCAACCAATATTTATGAAACTTGGCACCAGAGCCCATCTCAAAGGAGTACTTCATACATCCCTCCCTTTAGTCTGTGTCCCCGTTATGTGTATTCCGCTATCGTTGCTAGGCAGAAACGTTATTGCGGCAACGAATACATATGCAACAATAGAAGAACCGTGCCGTTTTCTACGCCGCCCGCGTCGTATCAAAGACAAGTAGGAGATTACATCTTTCCAAAACCTTTTGTTATTCTAACGAATTTAAGTGAAATTCTCTAGTTAACTACAACTTGTAGGTTTATGAAACGTCGGTAAATTTTTAACAGACTACACGGCTTCACGATTCGGGAGATATTATTTTTCATAATCACCGCTGTGGGACTATAGAAACCCGAAATATTTTACTTCCTGTCCAGCAGCCGAGATTTCCGTTGAATTTGTGATACCCTTGACGCAGGCCGCTTCCTGCGCTCAAGAAATTCGCCAGATCCCCATGTCCCGACTGGAGAGCAAATCAGAATCAATATGTGCTCGAAGCCTGAAATAAGCCGAGACCATTTCAGACGGAGGAAGTGAAGGATTTCTGATTGCTACCAAAATCAAACACTGCCGGTACTGAAAGTGAAATAGTTTGTAGAAGAGTACAGTAGAATATTTAGAGAAGGCTGGACTCTTTGCTAAGCTGAAGGGGGTGCCAGTGTATAAATATCGTAAAATCGCTATTTTGCTGTACGTGGGCTGTCTCGCGTATATTAATATTGCCACGTCTATGCTTGTGACTAATAAGACGGGGTTTGGACTGGTAATTCGATTGGTCACTCCTTGTACAATCACTCGCAAAATTAAAATAACTAACAATAAATCTTCAGCCGAAACCTTGTTCCTTGGACTCTCACTCAATTCTGACTCTATTCTCTGACTCTGTTCTACTCTGATCTGATCTCTATTCTGACTGGACTCTTTGAATGTGAGTCTTATGTTACGACCGACGGTCAGTCGGTCAGTCTCTCTTGGAATAAAGCACCCATCTGGGGCTTACGACCAGACTTTTATTACTGTCAGACAGTTGCGGGTTTGTTGATGTGGGGCGCTCTTCTTATATAGCCACAGAACGGACCCCACGTAAAACAAAGCCTCTACTGTTGTAGAGGCGTATTTACCTCGGCGTTGCATAGCCTCAGTCGCGGCGCGGACTCCATAGAAAATTTACTTCCTGTTGCTGACGCTGTTTACCGAGCCGTTGCTTGGCAACGCGTTGATCAAATACGTTACAATATCTAATACTAACGTAACTGGACTAAAAAGAAGATAATACCAAAAATAATATTATTCGTACATGTTATATAATCATATCCAAAATATGGATTCATACTAAGAAACAAGATCAGCAACTAAGCACGAACAATACACCTGATGATGACCCAATAAGGGACGAAACATGTCATGTTTAAGGTTTTAAGATTTTAATGTAAATAATCTATATTTGTATATTTTATAACCAATTATTGTGTCGACGAATGTAAAAATGAATACTCAATGTAAGAATAAGGTTTGGTTTTTGTATAATGTCCGAGTAACATGGGAGCCTTGAGATTTATACGGTTAACTGACTCCAAGGAACATAGTTTTCCTCCAGACACTACTAGCGACTAAACTATTCAAGACGTTCCACGTGTTTTATGGACCCTGAAACCTGACAAACATTTGTATCTTGCTTTTTATAGCAAAGAATAGCTCCATCCGGTCCAAATTACGAGCTGGAGAACCATCCCTTTTCAGCTATCCACGTATATTTATTTATACATCCGCAGCTGCTCTGCACACTTGGAAGACACTCGACACGGTCGCCACAATATGAACTTTTTATGATGACTTGTGAGTGCCAGGCTATGAAAGCGCGAGTACGTACACGAGACCACATCATGCAAAGAGAAAACATATCCAGCGAGACCCGAACCCACGCCCACAGTACTCGAACGGTCACGGCTGACCACAGTGACCGACACAAGCAAATTAAATGCAGTTACCTCTATCAACAGTGAATATTGGTTTCCACCCAGGATTTCTAATTTAGTTACCGGAGAAGTAACATTTGACATTTAGATACCTGCCGATCTGGTTACGGTGAAAACTAACTTTGTTACTGTGTGAATCAACACAGGGCGATCTACTGTGTAGTTTTGTTTGAAGGAGTGACGCCGCGTTCCTAATGGAGCAGGCTTCGTTCATTCGAAGTAGCAGAATACACAGACAGAACTGCTGAACTCACAGAATATGTAGATTACAGCCTACTGGGATACAAGTGTCAACGTTTCAGAGGAATCAGCTGCCTCCTTCTTCAGGGTAACATGAGGAAGAGGGATACTTCAGTCGGTATACTAATTAGGCTAAGGGCTGAACGACCGAGCAAGACTTCTGATTCCTGGCAGGGGCAAAAATTCCCCTGCTTCTTGCCTAATTGTTACAGGGGGCTCCCCCCTGGGGGAAGTTGTTAGGTCATGGAGTGACTGCTTACGCGCCATAGCTCAAGCGGTTAGTCGCTGGCTTCCCACCGCGGCGGCCCGGGTTCGATCCCGGGTCTGGTCAAGTGGGATTTGTGGTGGACAAAGTGGCGCTGGGGCAGGTCTTCTCCGAGTAATTCGCTTTCCCCTGCCAATTTACATTCCACTAATTGCTCCACAATCACCCTCACCTATCATCCGGGGCTGGTATAATAGGCCAGAAGTGGCCGCTGTACAAGGGACTTAGTCCCACCCCACTAGCAATTAAAAATATAGAGCCGAGAGTAAGAATGGGAGGAGATATACCTCCACTCCCCATACGCCATCAATGCATGGTGCTTAATTAAGGATGAGGCAGGTGAGAGTAATATATTATTAAGACAGTTATTAAATATTAAACGTGATATTGCCGGTCACGGTAGCCGAACGGTCTAAGGCATGCAATGTCTTCGCTCGCTTTGAAGCCGGGATCGTGGGTTCGAATCGCACTCACGGTATACGTACGTTTTTCTGTGTTTGTGTACAGGTAGAGGCCTTGCAACGAGCTGATAACTGACCCAAGGAGTCCTACCGAATGTCTAAGATCTAGTAAACCGAAATGAAACGGAGAGTTTCATGGAGGTAGGCCAAGGCCAAGATTGCAGTTGTAGCGTCAAAAAGAAAAGTGATATCACAGCATCCAATACTACAAATAATTAAAACAATTTTTTTTTCCTTGGCACTATAGCCCCAGTGGGCCTAGGCCTACCTCCATGAACTTCTCCGTTCACTTCGGTTTTTCTACATCTTAGACATTCGGTAGGACTCCTTGGGCGGGTGATCAGCTCGTCGCAAGGCCTCTACCTGTACACAAACACAGAAAAACGCACACAAACATCCATGCCCTGAGTGGGATTCGAACCCACGATCCTGGCTTCCGAGCGAGCGAAGACAGTGCACGCCTTAGACCGCTCGGCTACCGTGACCGGCAATTAGAACAATTACAGTGGGTTATCTAACGGCGCTGTCAGTAAATACATCATATAGCATCAATGCCAGGATGATTAATTAATACGGAGCAGTTGGCTGAATGAGAAATGGCAGAGGGGACTTAAGTCCTCGGAGAAAACTATCCCCAATGCCAATTTGTTCACCACAAATCCTACATGACATAACATGACGTGATATGACCTGGGATACAAACCAGGCAGAAGCAAAACACAGGTTTCAAGAAGCTTTTCTAAATAAACATCTTTTGTATGAATGACATCCGATGACCTAGAGACTACTGCTGACAGAGCCATCTAGCAGCAGAATTAGTACTGCCTGCAAATGCCATGTGCGAAGCTCTATCGGCGTGCTGTGTTAATATAATCTCAAGCAGCAT